CTGCACTGCGGGTGTCCGCCCTTTTCCGCTGGCCATGCAGCATTTCTATTCATTTGTCTCCCAAGCGATTTCTTTACTTTTGTCTCCCAGGTTCGGTGCCTGCACTGCTGGTGTCCGTCCTTTCCGCTGGCCATGCAGCATTTCTATTCCTTTGTGTCCCATGTGGTTTCTTTTCTTTTGTTTCCCAGGTTCGGAGCCTGCACTGCTGGCGTCGGCTCTTTTGCGCTGGCCATGCAGCATTTCCACAAACAGTTTACTGTTGGGGTTCTCAGTGCTGTGTCCGCCTCACGGCGCCGACCTCTGACTTGCGCCTTGCCTTGCAATCCTTTACATATTTCCCCCAGCTCTGGACTGCTTTGTCCGCCTCTGCGTTGCAATCCTTTACGTTTGTCTCCCAGCTCTGGATTGCTGTGTCCGCCTCTGCCTTGCAATCCTTCACATGTGTCTCCCAGCTCTGAGCTGCTGTGTCCGCCTCTCTGGACTGTTTTGGCCGCCTCTGCTAGCCAGAAAGAAAGTCGGAAAGAGTGTCAGAAGATATGCCAAAAAGCATGTCAGAAGATATGCCAGAAAGAATGTCACAAGATATGCCAGAAGGAATGTCAGAAGATATGCCAGAAAGAATGTCACAAGATATGCCAGAAGGAATGTCACAAAGAATGTCAGAAGATATGCCAGAAAGAAAGTCAGAAGATATGCCAGAGAGAATGCCGAAGTAAGATATATCAACACATGCCAGAAAATTTGTCAGGTTGAAAAGTCATGGTGGGGATCACTCGAAGTAAAGAATTTAAACTTCTTGCCAGTCACTGGATTGTCTCAACCTGCAGGCCTACATCCCGCGTTGCGGGCGCCACTTTAACTTTTCGCTGCTTCGAGTCCGCCAGGCGTGTGGAAAAGCTCTTGCTGGGAGCATCTCCTGGACCGCCGCCTGCAAGTAGTGGCCTCAAATACGCAAAGAAAATGTTGTAAAAGAGGAGCTCCTCGGGCCACAGGAAAGAATCGCAGTCTCGCAGATACCACATGATTATAAGGTTTCTCATCTCCCTCAAGCGCACCTGCAGCAGGGGATGGATGAGCAAACGCAACCAAATGCAAACCCTGGGCCAAGCAACTCTTGTGGAGTTGTTCTTCCAAGCCTTGTGTTCTTCATAGCTTGCAGCTTCTGACTTGAAAAGGATGCGCTCATGCCACATCTGCACATACATGCATGTGCCAAACCAAGGCGATGCCAATGAGCATTGCACGGATTTCCCGCGCAGCTGGCGATCTAGGCGAGCTCGCGTGAGATTGGTTTTCCATGGTCTTCCTAGTCAGCCGCCTCTTCGACGGTTGAGTGGAGAACACTCTTTGCCAAAGGACTCCAGCAAGATGTTGAAGAAGCCTGCCGCGGACATACAGTTGGAACTCTTGGTTGTGGTCAGAAGGCCACACTGCAGGGCAAACTTTCGGACGCGTCGGTACAAGGACTTGCCAGCTTCGCCTTCAGCTATTTAATGGAAACTTAGCGCAGGAAACTGGTATAGGGGGTCTTCGGTGATGGTCACCCATGCGCAAATTGATCTCGCTTCAAAGGTGCACCTGAGCTAAAGACCCTGCGGGGTCGATCAAACAACAACGATCCCGCACGGTTGCAAGCCCAATCATCAATGAGGCTCAACTCTTCACCTTTTGTTCATCCTACACTTGCAAAGGTGCTTCGCGCCCAAGCATGTGGCGCGACCTTGCTCACCACTGCGCAACACAGCTATAGGTGGCCATTCCTTACCCACAAGGATCCATTCACACACGGCGCCCGATCCAGAAAAAGTTCGATCAATATCAATGGAACACCTGTCAACAAAAACTTGCCAATCATTTCATTTGCTTCCAGTGTGCAGCTAGCTGCTTTAGCCCTCGACTCACCACCCTACAAAACTGTCTCAGAACATATGACCGCACAGGGCCTCTCAAACCAGCCCAGACTGCAGACAAATTGTAGAGTTGCTACTAACGAGGTGCCGGAAGGCGGCGGACACTAATGCCTGACCACAATGAGACACGAAACGGCAAACTACGAATGAAGTGAGCGAGCGAAAAGAGCATAGGACCTGGGCGTGCACGAACTTACATGCAAACAGTCTCTAAGTTAAGAGGGTGCTGCATGAGCAACACGAAATGCCTCAAGACAAATCGGCCAATTAATCTGGGAAAGTGCTGCGAAGTGGTCCCTTAGCGGGAAGTTGTGCAAGAAAAGCCTGGAAGGCGGAAACTGCAGCGTGCTCAAAAACACACCTGGCCCCTATGCCAGAACGGGAAGGCCGCGAGTTCAGCCGGGAACACGGACGATCCCAGGTTCCTCTCAAAGGTCCTAACCGCGCTTGCCATCATACGAATCTGAGCGATAATAGGGGCAGGCTTGGCCAACTCATTACCTTTAACATTCCTAACGCAATATGCGAATCTGGATTTGTTCTTACCGCCAACACTCAAGCCGAAGCCAGAATATTTACAAAAGTTCCAACCAAGCTCTAGCCATGAAGGTGTTGCAAAGCTGGGGAGCCTTAACATCTGTCTACTCCATTTCAAGCTACAAATCCACTGCCAAAGCTTTTCCAGGTAGATGGGATCATCAAGTGAGTCACCCGACGACGCGAGACCGGGTAAGCGAACCACTGGCAAGAATGTCAACATACGCCAAGTCGTCAGAACACAACGTTCCAACTTCTTTCGAAGGAGAGCCCTTCTTATTTTGGAGAAAAAAAGCACACTTGGTGTGAAATTCTTCACTGACAGTATTGTGGAGAGAAAGAAACTCCAGTGAAAACAACTGAAGGGCACGATAACGAGCCATACCCTCAAGCTCTTCAAAGTCTAAGTGAGCTTTAACCTTCACGATCTCCAACTGAGTTGACAAAGCACTTAAACATCTTAAACTATCCAACTATCCAGATTGGAATCCTGGTTAACATACACGAGTTGGACACCATCTTCCCGTGCTCCTTCCGCCGACCGGGACGGCCGGGGGGTGACCGCGGCGCCTGCGGGTCACCATAGCAGGGGTGTCGCCCAGCAGGCGGGTGTGCTAGACCGGCTGCCTCGGCAGGTGGATCAGGTGGTTTTTGATTCCAAGATCATTCAAGGCTTTCAGGTACCGAAATGCCGGGCACTGGACGTTTTGATGGCAGTCTTGCCTGGGCCACCCTGATGAGCGCTTACCATCTAGCTCGTTGATGTAGTATCGTCTGTAAATATTTACCAGAACATGAGAATAGTACCACACCCCTTCTAGAACCCCTTAGTTGCGGAAAGCATCATTAACAACCTTCTGGTTCTTACCACCCTCACACAACACCTACAACATCGCTCGTGCTGCCACCGCCTGTGGATCATAGCTGGGCATCGCTCGTGGAGCCGCACCGCCCGCATGCACCTGCTGGAGAGGTTCTCCGGTTTTTCCGGCTGTAAACCCTTCTGGGAGCTGCTTCACATACAGGCATACAACACCACAGTGGGTAGGAACCACTTGACTTGAAGACATGCTCGTGACCCATTATCAAAACAACAAGAGCCAAAAAAGACACTAAGGAAAACAACGAGGTACAACCACAAACAAGCAAACAAGCAAAACACGGCAGTCTGCATGGTTGGTTGAAACATGATGAAACATGCATAAAACCGCAGGGAAAGTTGCATCGAGAAGGAGGTCAGTTTGAGTGTAATGTGGTCATGAACGACTTGAATGCAGTCTTCCAGTTGTGCGAGGAAATTTTGATTGTTTTCGTACACGTTCGCAGGCTCACCGGTGCGCACGAGTAGACATCGGACATCGGGAACAAGAGAATCTCTTGATGAACATGAGAAACGTTCTCAAAACAACGGGTTTCACCCTAAACAGGGACGACCCACTTTACTACAAATAGTTGCATTTAAACTTTTGAGGAGCCTCTGGATCTGACGGTCGCGTGCTGCGGCCTCCTTGTCACAACTTCCACAAAGCTTGCTCGAAACACATTGACAGTGAACTCGAGTCATTAGCCTTCTGCCGGAACATCCCTTCCGGAACACTGTCCTTCCAAGGAATTTAAGATTCAGCAGGTGTACTGCGAACAAGTTCATACGTATGTTCGATTGGCGCACAGCAAGGAAGCAAATGAGCCAAGGCTGCCCTTTGCAGCCTTGTGTCCGGTGCACAACTTCACGCCATCCGCAAGCTGCTTGCAAACCGACCGGTGGAATCACTCTCTGCCCCCGGGAAGGCAAGCGAAGCCTGTCTGCTGTACCCGGATGTTCCATCCCTATGGATCCACTGCCACCAAACCAGGTCGGTACGGTGAGCAGTGTTTGACAGTGTTATGTATAGGCGCCAGGAGGTCGTGTCCCAAGTACCGAACCAGGTCGGTACGGTGGCAGTGGATCCGGCATGGAATCCGCGGTCCCTGACCAACTCCAGGACTATCCCGATCCCGAGTGTCGTTGTGGCCGCGAGCGGCCAAGGCGAGCATTGTCGTTGGCAGTGATTTTGAGCGCATGCGCGCTTGGCGCACGCAAAGCTCCCGGTGCTTGCGTGGGCTGGATGTCCAGTCGCATCAAATTGGAGAGCAGCTAGAATACTCACACATCTAGCAACATGGATGGTGAATCTGACTATAGAACCTTGTAGATGCTGTAGGAGGTCTTCGGCAACTGGTTACACTAGCGAAAATTTGATGCTTCTTGTCATCGTGCTTTGATAGCTATTCTGGAACTAGCCAACAACGTTTTTCTTTTGAGATGTTTGGGTCTATTTATTTCATTGTCATTGTTTTTTGAACATCAGTTTGTCGTGCATGTGAGCCGTTGGCATGCGGTTTTCCGCTTTCCGCTCAGAGACAGGATACCTTTGCCATGTTCACACCTACAAGCAAGAGCTCCGATCTTCAATTGTTTTCAGAGGCACAGCGCCTAGCGCCTTCGCTGAGTTGGGCTCCCTCACTTTACGCCGAGAAGCTGCAATGTCCTTAGAGTCCGGCTCAGTCACTGCGCCCACCAAAGCTGCTGGAGAACAGCCCTGTAGCCTCCCACGCTCAATGACAACAACTGTGGCTATACAGAAGGATGCCAGTTGGCAAAACATTCAGTTGTCCTCCTGCATTGAAACAGGCATGCGCTGCTGTAGTGCAAATCAACGGAGTAAACATCGCCGGCAAATCGCCGGAACGGGAGTCGCGGGCTGTCGTGTTTCCAAAATCGTTCTTCTCTCTTGACATCGTGCTTGGGCGTTGTTCGGCATTTGCTTTGATGCCTGGATGCGCCTACCGGCACTAGAGGTGATTCTCGGGCCTTTTTGCGCGGAGCGGTAGGCTGCAGCATAGTACTCTTGAAAACGACCTCTGAGTTAAAGCTGTAAGGGAGAAGCATGGCCCTGGTAAGTTTCAATGAGTTATCCTGGCTTTGATCCTCACCTCGAATCAGTTAAGTTCCTGTCTCATGTCTCATGTCCTCCTCACTTACAAACTCCATGTTGATCTTGAGATTGTTTTCAAACATGAGATGCATCTGACCAGTTCATTCAGGAAGAGATGCATCCGGGGTGTCAAGATTGGAACACTTGCTCCGGTGAGTTACTGACCCTGTTGGACTTCTATTGGATTAGCTATTGGAGCCCTAGAGCCCTCAGTGGAGGACTAGACTGCCATTCAAACATCCGCAGCATAGCAATCCCCGTGGCAAACCCCTCCCATAGAAAACACGCAACGCGCAGGGTCGATCTGCAACATGAACAACATGAATATATACACCATTAATACCAAGAAGACAGTCTTCGGGACTACGCCAAGAAAGAAGATCGGCCTTCAAACAAGGGCCTCAACTATCCGGGTGAACACCGACAATCCGAAGACCTTCAACTAGTCTTCTAAATCTGTTGGTCACTTCTATAGGATTCTGACTGCAATCATGGAAGTGGATGTTTTGGGCCCCTTGGAAGGACCGATGTTCCTCTACCCGCAGACTGTGCGACCGTTTCCTCGTTCACGCCCCCTTGGTCAAAACCGGATTTCGAGTAGGTCATGACCACTACATACCACTACCATCCACTACCCTATTTTATCCTCTACCCTAAGAATCTGGGCCCTCAACTACATAGGGTTTTGAGGGTCCGGACCCCTGCTATGGAGGGTCCGGACCCCTGCCATGGAAGGCCCAAGAATGCTTGGGGTACCAAGAATTGTTGGAAGATGTTGGGGAGGGTAGTCCTCCCTGCGGAAATTCACAGATCTTCCGCCCGGTGGAACCGCCTGCGGATCCCCATAGCAGGGGTGTCGCTGGGCTGGAGGACCAGCCAGGCCGGCAGCACCCTGCAGTGCAGGACTTCGGGTGATTGTTCTGAGGGTGGCTGGATCCTCTTCAGTATCAGTAAGGGGTCACTCCCTATTGATAACGGAGCCGCATCGCCCAAAAGCGGATTGAGTGGGTGGGGAAGGATGTCTTTGGGACGGATTTCTCAAGAACCCTTCCAACCAGGTCACCATTTGGGGGGATCCGTTGAGAATTACTCTTATTTGGGGTAGTATGTCCACTGGGACATACACTGGGACCCAAACCTCAAACACTCTATACATGTCGTTTTTTGCTCTCACAACCAACTTGTCACCCAACTATGTCAGGTTGACTTTCTTTTGCTCTGTGCCTCGTAGCGTTCGTAGCGCCCGTTCGCTGGGGAGGGTTGACGTACGCCCACTCCGGCGGGAGACGCAGCCTGCAGTCGGAGTGCAGAACTTGGATCGTGGATGATTTCGCTGTGCGTCACGATGTCCTGAATTTTGAGATGATTGATTTAGCAATTGCAGCAAGGATGATTTGGCTGCGCGTGGTTTCAGAGTAGATGGCACTGGCACCCCAAGATGACTTTTAGGATCTTTTAGGTGGGGGTCCATATCGAATTTTGGGATTGCGCCATCTACATCATCTACTCTCAATCCACTGTATAAGCCTGTAGTAGCAAGCATCGATGGTATCTGTGGCCCATGCGTCAACCGTCATAAACTCATCATGAACAGTGACTGGGAGAGCCGCCCCAAAGCCGCCCAGTTGGGCTTCCCAGTTGGGAGGATTGCAGCACCAACAAAGTCAGACAAATCAAAATGACATCGTGAAAAGAGAACTCCCAAGGGCTCCAAGTATTCCGAGCAGGTGTTTGAGGTGGGTGCCAGGGTCCAAATGTCTGAGGAGGTACTTGGCCTACAGTAGATCCTAGATCATGAAAATATAGTAGATCCACAGATACCACCGTACTTGGACCCTACAGTAGATCCAACACTTGGCCTAAAGCGGCCAGGCTTTTAGACACGAATCTTCACCAGCCATTCTTACCACAAATGCAGCCATCAGTTCTCGTCGACCAACCAGTAGCAGCCCATACACTAAGGGTCCAGCAACCCTACGTGCTTCGGATGAGTCGAACGGAGGTGAACATACTTTCCTGAAAATGGTCGTTGCCGCCGAGTCGAAACATCCGAGAAACGGGATGGTCGAGGCAAGGCCGGGTTTCAGACTCCGAATTCATGAGCTTTCGTAAGGACCCCCCCCCGCTTTGGGGGATTCTTGCAAGCCACAAGCAGCGGGTCTTTCTTGGTTGTGACGCAAAAGGCCGAAGATCATCTTAAACTGGAACAAAAGAAACTATTGACATATGCATACACACTTGGATTTGCTGAAGGATCCGTGATGATCCGTGGAAAAAGAATACGCCCCTTTTGATTTACTCATAGGGATATATTTAAATAAGATCTCCTTAAGCAACACCAGGCATAGCCGTGTTCAAAGGACCACCTTCTCCCTGGCCCTCATCTCCACATTCTCTTTTCGAACAAAATATAATAAACATGGCCTGAGGTCCCGCCTCCTGAGGGACAGCGGCCACGCCAGAAGGCAAGCGGCTTGGATGAACCACCTGCAAGCAGCAGGTCTTTGCGTTTAGGTCATCTCGTTCGGCGGCGGATTTCTGGCCTCAAGCGACCACGGACCTTGGAAGGAAGGCACAACGAGCCATCTTCAGAATCGTCAGAAACATAGGCCTCTCACGCAACTGACCCATTTCCCGTGCGCATTTCTGGAGCATCCCAAATGATGACGCGGACATTCCAGCACGTCAGGGTGGCGTGGCGTTGTTGTTTCTATGGCTGTGAATCCGCCAGTGCTTCCTACCGGGCGAGTCCAAACCGAAAGGACGACCTCCAAACACCTGCGCCTGGGGGGCAAGGACATACACAGCTACTATATAGAAAGGACTGAGTCACCGCGGGGAACAGCACGGTAGTCATCTAAGAGCGACAAGGAACAAGGAAGTCATATCGAACATCTCTTCCTGAAGGGGATTCACGCATGGGGAACTAACACGATATCAGCCTAGCACCAGGCCCAGGCCGTGGGATTCACGACCGCATGCCGCATGCCTTCACATTCCCTTCCGTCCATGTGCCTCCAACATGCGTGCAGGGGAGGCCCCACGAGCGCCACCGACCGGCGCCTGTGAAGGGTCAAACACCAACCATGAGAGGGTCTGCAGCATGCGAGGGTCGTAGCCCTCCAGGTTCTGCAGGTTTGCTTGGCAAGGATGTCAAGGCAGCCCTCCAGGTGCTGGAATTCCACTCTATTTCCATTTGAGGCTTTGAATCATGGAGGTTGTTTCTGTAAAGTGGATGTCCCCAAACACTCCAATGTGCCCGATGTGCTTGGCATACCGTCTGTGGAATAGGTGTTGCTTCTTTGGTTCCTCACTAGTCCTTCGATCACTTCGTAAGCTGGTTGAACTGTACAAATATGGTCCGGATGTTTCACTTGGACCCCCTTTTCATCGTTCCTCACAATGAGGAAAACCCAACAGCTTGGGATTCCTGAAGTTCTCCGAACGAGTCCAAGTCCACTGCGAGTCCACGTAGCGAGTTGAACTTACCATCAATTGATTCTCTGTCTCCATAACTACTAACCGCAAACTATACCTCGTCCATCCTTGTCCCATCCTTGCTGTTTCGCTGGTGCCAACGACTGTAGATTATATACAGTTGCTTTAACCAACGCCTCCGGCCTCCAGTTTGCTTTGAACAAATGACAGGATAGATAAATGGTTTAATGATCCATCCATCATGATAAAACTAATAATCTGTTCACTCGCAGTGCCGACATCTCGTAGCGGGACTGCGGCGAAGGCGCCCGCCCGGCGGGCGCCATTGCCTGGCCATTCCCAGCAGGCGGGTCAACTTGCCGCGCCACCCAATCCAGCTAAGAAACAATTCCCAAACACTCCATGTACCAGGGCCCCCGGGCCTTGGGGTGGTTAATGGACACCCCTGAACCTCTAAGGAGCTATTGTTAGACACCCGCCCATGGCCCGGTGGCCTAGGTATGGAATATTAGACCAGATTGAACACTTAAAACCACCCCTGCCCTGATCGCGGGTCATATGCCGGTCCCAGACAGGTCGTGTCCGGGTTGTGCCAAAATCATCTATGAACACCACATTTGATGCGCCAAATCTATATAAAGAGTTGTAAGTTATAAGTCTTATAAGCCCATCTAAGCACTCATTCGAAGCCCTCCAAGCTGATCCCCCCCAAACCGCTCTTCACACCCTCGCTCCCCGCTCGCCGTTTTCGCTCCCGTTCCTCGCCACGGCCAAAGCGACCCGTTTTTCAGGTCCCCCACCTCCGGCTTGGCCACCCGTGCGGGCGACGGAGCCCGGTTGGGAGCCTGGCTCGCGGCGCGGTGTTTTGGCTTGTAGCCTTAGGGATCCCAAATGTCCACATACCTTCTCAGGTTCCAAACGCGCTTGCTTCCTGGGTGTCCAATTTGGAGACCTATATATAGATCCTATATATAAGTAGGCTTGTCCAGCCAGGTGACCCGTTTTATCAGCAGCTGGTGCGGTACGAACCTCCAAAGCTACAGAACAGTGGTGCGGTTACCGTGGATCCATAGGGTGCGACATCGTCTATAGACGTCTACAGACGTCTACGCATACTTGCACTGGTCTAACATGGTCTAGCAAATCGCAGTGCATCGGAATGATTCACATGATGGGATGATCATGAGACGAAAAGAGACATGACATACCGGCTATGAGATAGCCATAGATAGCCGCTTAGAGGTTCAGGGGTGTTCGACCATCTCTGGTGGGTCTAGGAAAGAAGCCTGTAGCCTGTAGCAATATAGACAAAACCTGTAGCCCGTAGAATGTGGGGTGTCCTGTGGCAATTTGATGTGGCAAGTGTACCACCAAGGAGTCGCCAAGGAGTTCTCCTGTTGCCTTGGATCTTTGAAGGCAATCTGATTGAGATGCACCCGTGGACAAATACTTGCATGTTACTCAACAAGCCTTCCAATACGTCCCCAAACAGCACAGCACTGTCATTCAGAAACAACCTCCAGAAAAAAACAGGGTGGCAAACTCATGTTTTTGCAGGTGTTTTAAACATGTTGATCTTCAGAACGACCGCATGTGACCAAAAAGTATCACTTGATTTTAATGAACAAACAGGCACCACTCCTGCAAATAGTGTACCAAGTCATGCCAAGTCTGCATCTGAACTTCTCCGAACTATGTGTGACATGCTCAACTCCTGTGGCTAAGCTATACACGAATCCACCCCGAGTCGCATCGAAAAACGCCCATGCAGCCACCTCGTTCCAGGAGAGGTTAATGGAGCTGGGCCCCCCCAGGAGATTGTGAGACTCGATATCCTCCGCAAAGTGCGGGAAAGAAGGTGCATGGAACAAAAAACACCCAGGGACCCAGGGAGAGGGGTCAACGGTGAGGCCCAAAGTGCGTCAATATAATTAAGTAGCGAACGTACGGGCCAGGATTTTAGTGCCGGATGTGGGTCATGAACCCGATATTCCCAAGCTGCTTCAGTTTCCGTACCCAAGCTGCTTCAGTGGATACAATGTCAGCAACTCGATCTCCAGGTCTGTGAACAAAAAATACTGTATCCTTCTCTTTGATATACACCAGGGGCTCTTCAGAAGGGGTGCTGTGGGGGGGGTATGAATTTCACTCTCCACACACCACAAAACACTGCACATAGCCATAGCGTGGGTTTTGTAAAGGCACTGGCCAAACATTGCGACTAGGCTGTTGGTCGCCAATCGGCCCACCTCAAAGAGTGAGTGGTGCGAGAACCGAGTTGAACCGGATCAACCGATCAAACGGTTGGGTCCATCCACCCATCTCCGCACCCGAAGCCCGGAGCTAAACCGCGGCGGCCGAAGCCTCGACCCGATGCGCGATCCGAACGGCGGACGGCGGACGGCAGGCGCAGCTCCTTGGGGCTTCTTCGGCCCCGTGAAGTTCGGGTCGTTCCTGATCCGCTCCGAGGGGAGGCCGAAAGGGACGGGGGGGGGGTCTTGTTCAGGTTCTTGCGTGGGAAAAACCGAGGTGAGAATGGGCAAAAGACACGTGCTCAGTCTTCAAAGATGAAGGTATTTGCTTCAATCCAAAATGGTGGGAGTGTGTCAATCAATCGTTTGAGAGTCTACATTCAGCGCCAAAAGGGGTGGATGAGGTCAGGAGGTTTTGCACCGATGAGGTCGGGCAAAAATCAACTGTTTGCGTGCCAGGCTGTCCTACAAGTGTCCCATCTGACCCGGGTCCAAACCTGCTCTTTGTGCTCCCTTACCTCCTTGAGACTTGAGTAGTGTGAACTTGTATCACCAACTCCAGTAAGATGCGGTCAAACTGACCTGTAGGGTATAGTTGGAAAGAATTGACATGTGATGACAATCTACTATAACAGCTATAACATCCTGGCTTGGTTGGGGGTTTGCTAGACCGTGACAGGCAAATAGGATTGACCCATTGTCACAAGAGCAGCCCAAAGCGTTAAACAAATGGCTGGGAATGTTGATGCGGGTGTCTATTTTAATACAGAGAGATCCCCAACCAATGGGTTTTGGATGGTTTTGGTCTATGTTCTTTCTTCCAGGGGTTCGAACTGGCAAGTCTCCCGGTTTTTGATACACGCCTGGGCGTGCCTTTCGCCGCCAAGAGTCTGTTGCTGGTGCACCACGATGTTCCGTTGCACGTTGTTGGACCTGGGTGGAAACGCTCGTCGCTGGAGAAGAGCAGGCGGAAACGCAGTCCCTCAAGAGCTGTTCAGGGCAGGTCGGAAGTTGGAAGGCTCAAAACAAAGGCCTGCTTCTAAGCTGAACTATAGGTATGAGCGACATGTTGCGTTGAACTATATTGGGTGGTGGAATCCAAGGCGATTTCCAATGAATCAGTATAGAGCTTGATCATGTTGGTTTGGTTGTTGCATTCCATAGACCTCTCTTGACCTGTCGAAGACTTGATCACAATGACGTTGAAGCTGTCAGCTCCATGGTGCCATGGCAACAGATGGCCACCCAACCCGAGCTGGTTTCTTGGACCATATTTTTGCAAGGCTCTTCCACACAGGTAGGGGCAAAATCCCTACATATCCCTTCAAAAGTTTCACCTGGTTGCCACCCACATCCTCATAGCTCAAATCCAACAGCTGCCAGTCTTAAGCCCAATTCGATTTTGTGCCAATGACAATTCCCATCACTTCAGTAGCTTCAGCCTCCAACGATTCAGCCTGCATTCTTTTTCAACTGCTCCAGTCTTAAGCTTCAGCTCGGCCGACACCGGATCCCACTGCGCTCGGTCCCTGCCGGATCCGCGTGGAAGGTCCGGTCCCTGCCATCCTCGAGGCATTTCTTGCCCAAGTCCTAAGGTCCAAGCGTGAGAGATGGCAGGTGACTTTCTCCGCCACACGCTTCATCATCTCCCAACTAATCACCACCCACGTGCACGGCCTATTCTTACGCAGTAGAAGACGGTCGAGGTGATCTCGAGGAAGACGCCGCGATACAGTCCGGCTGTGCCATTCAAACCTGCTCCTCAGTTGGATGTGGCTCAAAATGTCTTGCAACATGGCAACTTGGGGCTCTCTAGAAAATCCGCCCCAAAGTCCGTTCTTCATGTACTTACGAGCAACTGTTGAGGTATATATATATATATATATTCATCACTCTCTGTTGTGGTTCGAGTCCTCCAATTAGTTTGTTATATATACTCCTTTCTTTGAGCTGCGACATCTGACGAGTTGTCTTCCTGTCGAATACTCCGTGGCCATGCAGGGCAGCAAAGGGTTCTGGCCAGTCCCTCGATTCGACTGGCAAACATGTTTGACGACATTCCCCAGATCCCCGCCAAGCATCCACGATCCAGGTGGCGTCCAGGAGGAAGGTTTCATTCATCTCGAAGCTGTTGCCTGCTTGGGATCAAGGAAGCGGCTACCAGTACCAACCCCCCCCAGCAAACAAAAGGAGTCAACAACTTATCAAGAACTCGATGCCCAAGTCTTCACTGGGTCAAGAAATGTTAGAAAAAACACAAACGTTGACTGCCCCAACTGCTGAGAACTATATGTAACTATAATCGAAACAACCAAGCCAATGCCCTGATAGTTCTGAGCTGACACCGGAACCCCCTTTCGCCAAGCCACTGAAGAGCTCTCCATCTTTGTGCCGGACATAGGAATCCTGCAAACACCCGGTGTCTGCTGAGTGGTGTCACCCTCCCACATCCATCTGCAGTGGTTTCAGAGTAGATGGCACGGCAGTTTGGTGGTTTATATGGAACCCCATCTAAAAGACATGCAGGGGTGCCAGTGAATAACACTGCAAATGCCTATACCACTATGCCTACCTGAACCTAATGCAGGGGTCCGAACATGGAGATCCTCAAGTAGTGGAGGGCAGTCTATTGGTCCCTTGGAGACTCCGTTGAAGGTGCAAGTCTCAAAAACCTTCCAAAACAACCAGGCCCTACGGATCCACAGACCGAACCTGGGAGACTAGGAATATGCGCCAGCCATTGTCGGGTCCAATGATCTTCGGTTCGGTGGCAGTGGATCCATAGGGCATGGTCAAACATCTTGGATTTCAATTCATGCTTCCGGCCGCTGCTGACCACCTCCGGCCATCTTGGCCACCGACACACCGCGCTGACCGACCGACACCGGCTCGGTGACGGACGGCTCGACGAGCCGCGTCGCTCCGGAAAGTTCACGGCGCGCAGCGACACCCGGAGCTCGTCGCCCGCGGCCAAGCCGGGCAACGCCATCCAGGTGGCGTCCGCAGCGAAAGAGCCACTGGCAGGTGCCGAGAGCCTTGGGGAAGGTTTGTTTGGGGTGCAAGGATGTGCAAGGTGCGAAGGTGCGTCTTTTTTTTCTGGGGGGAGAAGTGGCTGACCTCCCAAAACCGAAGAGAAAAGATACTGAAGTGTTTCAAGACACCTCTTGATTTGGGTACACCCCCCCGCTGCACCCCAAAACCTCTGAGATCCTCTCAGTGATGTGGAGTTTGCTGGTTTTTGGGGCCACCTCCTGCAAGCTTGGATTCGAAAACACCTCTTCCCCTCCCTGCAGCTTTGCCCGCTTTGCCCACCAAGCCGCTCCAAGCGCCCCTCCCGGTGCCGCAGGAAACGTCCCTTCTCGCCCTCAAGGCTGACCGTGCCGCCAGGGCGAAAGCCTACACGGCAGGTGAACACCTGCACAGCCAGGTTGTCCGCCGAATAGGATGGGGTGATGGAGGGAAGAGGAAGATGTGCCACTTGAAGTGACTCTGGGTTCATGTTGTCGGGCTCAAGATGGTTCAAGTTCATCCAAAGCGGACACATACATGCATGAATCATCAAGCGGTAGGTGGAGGAGTTCTAGGACATCCTTCACCAATGGAAACATTGTCCCTTCTTGCAGTTTTCAAGACTCTGTTCAAGGTGTAGAGAATGGAGTATGTCGTGAATGATGAGGCTAAAGCTTTGGTGACCATGATCGGCGAACTGGAGTGACACACCGCAAGACTCAACAACAAACTGTTGGATGTGTTTCATTTGGCAGATTATGGCATAATTATACATACGTGCACTATATTATATCAAAGCAAAGCTCCTGGGAGCCATACGGTCGCCGGTGCCTGATCTGTGGCCTTGCTCAGCCGCCCGTCGTAGCCCAGGAAAGCATCCCAGCCCTGGCCGTCGAGACGGAACAAAGCTACGTCGAGGAGCTTGACGCGGAGCCCGCGGGGTGCTGGTTTTTCTCACTGGCCTTGGTCCACTGAGGGTATCATTTTGGAGTTCCAAAGGAAACACCTGAGCCTTAATATGAGCCTGGCTGGATGTCAAGTCCTGGCTGAACCTTCGCTCTGGGTGTGAGAATCCTGGCAAGCTCTAAGCTGGGCAAAAGAAGTGGACGCCTTGTTCATCCTTGCTCAATGTTTCAAAGATGGATGGCCTAGGACAGGTGATGGTACTGCACCTGTAATTCTGCAGGACGTACTTGGAACTCACTACCAAAAGCTGCTTCTGAATGTATTTCTATTCCTTGCCACACCACCCAGCCAAATGCTCACTCACTTACTGCCAGTGCTCAAAAGCTTCTCAATGATACTGTAACATCTACTGCAAGAGAGATATGGATTTCCTTCGCGCGACCAAACACCCGAATCTGCTTCCCTCTCGCTTCTCAGCCAGCCCTTTTGATGCAGTCCACTTGGAACCAGAATATCTGAAAATATGAAGTACTATGAAGTGCTCTTGAAGTGCATGTGGAGAGTCCAATGCCAAGTACAATGCATCAAACTTGTCGAACTTTACATATGAAACTTAAGCGCCAGCAATCCTGAGACCACAGCAGCCTCGAGTGCTTGCACTCAATTCACAAACCATCTCTACGCCAGTCATATGACCTGTGGGCAGTCATATGACCCAGCCAGGATAGTGCGCAGGTTGAAAGCCCCCTTTTGCAATCATGTGTGAAGAAGTGCAGCCCAAATGCAGTGTATAGGACCAATACCAACTCATCAAACAAGGAGAGCTTGATTCCGCTGAACTGCCCTGGCCAGTTTTTGTGTGATTCAGCCTTCAGCCCAACGCATTTGACCTGACTTGCACTGCACCTTCCTGCCATGACATAGCCAGTCGTACTCAGCAGTGTTGGCTCCTCACCTCCTCCCCTCACATCTTTCACCAGGAATCGGATCTTGGATCATGGCATCCGGGCAACGTCTTTCGAAGATACGTTGAGCAACCCATTCAAGAACACAACCTCGTCGTTGTGGCGTAAGCTGAGAGAGGGGGCAACCACGAATACAGTTTGAGTCAATGACACCTCTTTCAATCACCAGCAGCTTTCGAGGAGGACAAAGGGATAGCCCTGACATGGCACACACATTTACTCCAGGAAACAAAATCAGGTTGGGAACATAGTCCCCTTGACAAACTCCACAAACTCATGGGCACTTCGGTGTGCCTTGAGCCAAGTCAGATCAGTGATTCTCAAGAGAAAGGTCGCACACAATCAATGTCTCGGAGCATGTCGTAAAGGAAAGACGTCTTCTTCTCGGGGCCATGCCTTCCACTTCCAAGTGATCCGTTCCTCAGAGTGTCCACCCATAGAATGGCTACGGAAGTCTTAAGACCCCACTCTAAACCCTTGAAAAGAAAGAACAAACACGTGTCGACGTCGGTTCCAGAGTGATCTCAGATTGATCTCAGCTGGTCGCCCGTGTTGACCAATACATCCGGGTGAGGAATCGCATGAACAACTAGCCAGTGTTTTGGGAGCTCCCGGTGATTCTGGATTCCATCTGGATCCCGAACTCGCTCCCTCCTAAATGCTAGACATGGTTAAACAATGGTCGACACAACAAATGCGTTTAGTCTCTTGTACCCAAGGGTTTCTCGAAGATGGAGAATTCATTTGTTGGCATCTTCACGATCCAAGCATGTTGACCTCAACAAAGTACACCACCAAAATCAACCGATTTTGGGTCTATTCACTCTGTTGACGAACGCAGCTTCGTCCTCTTTTTGCTCCTTCCTGACCTTCTGCAAGTTCGTCCTTGGACCACTGACCATGACGGAGGAGAGCCGACCTGACCCCACCGCCTCAGGTCAGTTACCACACCACGGAGGCCACATGCTGGCTCCCCAAGCTCAAGAGCTTCTCAGTCATTGCATCGACGGCAACAGAAACATTGGTCGCCTTTGCAGGACCAAAGAGCCGAAT